TCCCCGATGTAAAGGAGGCCACACCGGGAACAGCGGATGCAGTATACCACATTAGCAGATGTTCAGGTGAACATCTGCTTGATGTGGAAAGTCTTCTTGGGGCCTGGGATGGGGGTGAGGGGGGAGGTGTAGGGGCTGGTGTAGCACTTCCTGCGGTTGTAGGGAAAAGTGCCGGGTGTGGTGGGGCTGGAGGGGAGTGTGGAGCGGACAAGGGAGTCACGGAGAGAGTGGTCCCTCCGGAAAGCAGATAAGGGTGGGGAGGGAAAGATGTTTTTGGTGGTGGGGTCGGATTGCAGATGGCGGAAGTGTCGGAGGATGATGCGTTGGATCCGGAGGTTGGTGGGGTGGTACGTGAGGACGAGGGGGATTCTGTTTTGGTTGTTATTGCGGGGGGGGGGGGGGAGGGATGAGTTGCGGGAAATGCGGGAGACACGGTCGAGGTCGTTCTCGACCACTGAGGGGGGGATGTTGCGGTCCTTGAAAAACGAGGACATCTGAGATGTATGGGAGTGGAAGGCCTCATCCTGGGAGCAGATGCGGCGGAGGCGAAGGAATTGGGAATAGGGGATGGCATTTTTGCAGGAAGGTGGGTGGGGAGGAGATGTATTCTAGGTAGCTGTGGGAGTCGGTGGGCTTGACATGGATATCGGTTTCTAGGTGGTTGCCAGAGATGGAGACAGAGAGGTCCAGGAAGGAGAGAGAGGTATTAGAGATGGTCCAGGTGAACTTAAGGTTGGGGTGGAAGGTGTTGGTGAAGTGGATGAACTGTTCGAGCTCCACGTGGGAGCACGAGGCAGCGCCGATACAGTCATCAATGTAACGGAGGAAGAGGTGGGGTTTAGGGCCGGTGTAGGTACGGAAGAGGGATTGTTCCACGTAACCTACAAAGAGGCAGGCGTAGCTTGGGCCCATGCGGGTACTCACGGCCAAAAGCAGCGCGACGCCGACGCAACTCCGCCCACCGCCAATGCCAACGCAACTCCACCCACCGCCAACGCCAATGCAACTCCACCCACTGCTGACACAAGTCCGCCCACAGCCAACGCCACACAGCCCACCGCGAAAGCCGACGCAACTCCGCCCATCGCCTCCACAGCCAGCAGCTCCAGAGGAGACAGTAGCACCCAGCCCTGCCGGGTCTGCACCATCCCCCCCCAGACCTCCCCCTTACTGAGGACGAACGGTCAGTCCTCACCTTTGTTCCCCTCCACCCACACATCAATGAATACCGCTCACCCTTGGACATAGAGCAGTTTTTCCGCTGCCTCCGCCTCCACGCTTACTTCTTTAACCGTGAACCTAACCCTCCCTCTACTGACCCCTTCTCCCGCCTCCAACACACCCCCTCCTCCTGGACACCACCCCAAGGCCTCCTACCCTCCCTCGACCTCTTCATCTCCAACTGCCGTCGTGATGTCAATTGCCTCAACCTCTCCACCCCTCTCACCCACTCCAACCTCTCCCCCACAGAACGTGCAGCCCTCCGTTCCCTCCGCTCCAATCCCAACCTCACCACAAAACCCGCGGACAAGGGAGGCGCAGTTGTAGTATGGCGCACTGACCTCTACATCGCCGAGGCCAGACGCCAACTCTCCGACACCTCCTCCTACTGCCCTCTTGATCATGACCCCACCCCTGACCACCAAACCATCATCTCCCAAACCATCCACAACCTCATCACTTCGGTGACCTCCCACCCACAGCCTCCAACCTCATCGTTCCCCAACCCCGCACCGCCCGCTTCTATCTCCTTCCCAAAATCCACAAACCTGTCTCTGCCTGCTCCTGCCCCACCGAACTTATCTCCACCTATCTCGACTCCATTTTCTGCCCCTTGGTCCAGGAACTCCCTACCTACGTCTGTGACACCACCCACGACCTCCACAACTTCCAATTCCCCAGTCCCCAACACCTCATCTTTATCATGGACGTCCAGTCCCTATACACCTGCATTCCCCATCCAGATGACCTAAAGGCCCTCTGCTTCTTCCTGTCCCGCAGGCCCGACCAGTCCCCCTCCACTGACACCCTCAGCCGCTTAGCCGAACTCGTCCTCACCCTCAACAACTTCTCTTTCAATTCCTCCCACTTCCTACAGACAAAGGGGGTGGCCATGGGTACGCGCATGGGCCCAAGCTATGCCTGCCTCTTTGTAGGTTACATGAAACAATCCCTCTTGTAGACAATCCACAAGCAGACAGGGCAGAGTAGGTTTTGAGCATACTTACTGTCTTCCGTCAGATTACTGAGTATAGGAGTTGGAACATATTGTTGCAGCTGTACGAGATATTGGTAAGCCCACATTTGGAGTACTGCAGGCAGTTCTGGTCACCCTTCTATAAAAAGGGTATTATTAAACTAGAAGGAGTGTGCAGAGAAAGATTTATTCAGATACTATCTGGACTAGAATGTTTGAGGTATAAGGAGAGGCTGGATAGGCATTGATAAGGTAGATAGCAGACAGCTTTTCCCAATGGTAGGGGAGGCTACAACTAGGAAGCATAAGGTTAAAGGGAGATGGAGAGATACAGAGATACAAAAAAAAAGTCTGGAGGGGCATTCCCACCACGCCCTCCACCCCAATTGGAGGGTTGTGAATGATTGGAACAGGCCACTGGAAGTAGCAGTGGATGCAAGGACAATGTTATCATTTAGACAGGTACATTAATGGGATAGATATGGACCAAGTGCAGGTAAACAGAACTAGACTAATTGTGAGAAACTGAGTAGCATGGGCAAGTTGAGCCGAAGGGCCTGTGTCCATGTTGTAAACCTTTATGACAGTGGATCAGGGTGCCCTGGAGGGAATGATTCCTGAGGAAGGCTGACAGGGGAAGGGACAGAATCCTTTCTGTGCTGGCTGTCTCAGAAGGAGCAACACAGGAGTGCATCTTTCCTCTCATTATTTAGGTGGAGAGAACCTAGAAGGCCACGGGGGGTCCATCTTGTCAGTTCTTGGATTTAGTTATTTATTTCAAACCTTCAGTATTGATAAGATAAAGGGTGGTGGGAATTATTGAATCTGCTTTCCCTACCCTTTCAAGCAGTAACATGGTGAGTTGGGGGGGGGGGGGGCTAACTCAAATTGGGCTTAAAATGCAACAGCTCGCCCATTTCATTGTCCACCAACTCAGGCCCACATGCTACAGGGATCAGTGTGGACCTCTGCCAAAGTGACAGCTGGTGGGGACCAGCCTAGGGAGGGGTGGGAAAAAAAAAGCACAAAAAAAATGATAGCAGGAACCAGCGAAAAAAAGGAAATAAAGAGGGGGTTAAAATGAGAAAGAGGTGGTGAAAGGGAAGCATGGTGTAATGTAATGAGAAAACAACAAATATACCAGAAATGATGATGTTAAAACTGCCTTTCTCTGCAGAGTTTGTTTTTTTTTTTTTTTGGGGGGGGGGGGGGGGAGAAGGGGGGGGGAGGCTGGGTGACGTGTGGTGGAAGAGTAGAGTGGAAGAGTAGAAACAAGAGCGAGACCAAGTGGCAGACCTGGGTTCAAGAGTGACCTGCACTAAAAGTTAGGCAGAAACAAAACATTGGAACAGGTTGTAGTGCAAAATTCTGACCTACGCAGCGATGAAGTGAAGCCATATTTAACCTCATTGTGCCAGAGCAATTAATGAATTACTCTAATCTGAACAATGTTTTAAAGACCAAGGTAAGTCTATTATCAGGAACAGATCTATAGGAGATCAAGTGTAGTTTGATTTTTAGACAAAAATAGGCAGCTAAATGAGGGCATTGTTACAGTAATTCACAAAAAGGAAATCCAGACCTCAAAAGTAAACCATGATGGTTAGTTGGAGACATACTGCTTCATAATTAGAAGGTTAAAATTTTAGAAGTCATGATTTTGGCTCATGACGTTAACCATCAGAATGGTGACAGCAGACTACAGTAAGAAGGGTGGAGGAAGAGAATCTTCAGGATACAGGGGTGAAAGATATTTTAAACTTTCAATCCCCCCATGTGACCTGAAGCATTAAACTGTTTTCTCTCCGCAGATGCTGCCAGACCTGCAGAGTTCTTCCAGCAAGTCTCTGGCTGTGATTTCCAACATCTAGTTTTTGGCTTTTGACAAAATTTAAAAAGCTGTCAAATTCTAAGATAGCATTCAAATCAAGAGAAAGCCAGAACACTAGCAACAGCTGCAGGTTACATTCTGCACCGAAAGAAAGAGTCCCCTACCCAAAACACTCAGCCAAGTCATGGGCAGGGAGTGAGAATCAGTAAGTAAATGCAAGATTCCTCTTCAGACATTGGAATGTCCTGTATAGATGCCCTTCTGAGGGGGTGTACAGATTTATTGCAGTTGGTGGACCATTGCAATTTTCACACAGCAGGAAAAATGGGATTCCAAACCCCATATTGCTGACTTCATTATTTACAACTTATGAGGGATGCAAGTTAGTGAATGCTCCCATAGTGAGTGACTCCAGTGAAGGTCATTCCAGTCTCAGCCTGGCCTGGCAGCTAATGCACAGACACTCAGCTCAATGCTCACTAGTGTGGAACTGAGGCCCTTTGAGACAGCATTGTCTCTTTAGCGAAGAACTACATTCTCATTTCCCCACCCAGATGAGCTGGATAGGAGGCCACATCGGAGACTCATCCATTGCTGCAGCAGAAATTTGCTTAACGTGCAGGTCATTAGTTCATCCCTCACTTGAAGGGAATAGGATACTTGCTCTAAGTTGAGAGAGAGAAAAGGACCAATATCAAAAGGACTGTTTGCAATTGAATTTTGGTCCAAAATAAATTTTGCTACTGCAATGGCATTGGTTTACTTGTGTTAAACAACCCCTGTTCAAAGCTGAATTTATGAAATAAAAAATTCAAACTAGAGTGCACTGGACTGTCAGCCTACCCACGCTGATGTCAAGCACAAAACTGGGCTCTTGTATTGATTGCACCTCAAGCAGGCTTTAAAAAAAAAAAGAGGTGAATCACCACAATTATGCAGCTCCAAAATAATAAGTGACAATTTTACACAATCTCAACTTCATGCAAACTTTATTCAAGAGATCAAACATCAGTTCTCAATCTGGAGTCATTTGTTTCAGTAGCTTATTCCCACACTGTTGAGAGAAGTTTAATAAAAAAATTCCTATTTGAAGTGAAATAGCTCAGTGAACCAAGGTACAAAAGCACACTTAAGTTAATTCATTCATGTTTGTTGGTATGTGGAACTAGAGCACCTCAAAGCCAGGCTGCCCTCACTTAAGAGGACAGGCAGCTCGACGAGCAAGAAACCCTGCAGATGTTGCTTTTGAGCCAAGCACAATCCCTGATCCACTTCAAAGGTCATCTTAAAAAGAGAAAGTAGGAGATGGGACACATTCAGTGGCCAAACCTTCCCATGGTTTAACCTGGACTAATACACAGTAGCCTTGATCAGGGATCATTCTATTGAGAGAGAGATAGTGTGTAGGACTCACATGGCACATCAGTCTGGGAGGAAGGAAAAAATAAGACAACACACACTTGGCCATGAAAATAAAAAGACTGATTCTGGAGTTGGAATCTGGCCAGCCGTTCCGAGAAGGATCCCTAGAGACTCCCCAGTCCAAGGCCTAGAATTCAGTTGGTCATCTTGAGGCATGGGCAGGTCACTAGGAAATAGACCGAGCATGCAAGTAGAATGTAGGGACTCAGCAACATTGAGGATTTGTCTTCAGTCACTATCCAAATGGAATGGGTGATTCCCACTTTGGAGAAAAGTGGAGTTGAAAGTAGTTCAGAAGATGCAGTTAGCCCTTTGAAGAAAGCTCTTGCTTCCCCCTCATTGCTTTGCAGAGACTAACATGTTATACATCAATAATCAAACTTCAGGGACTTCACCCTAACATCCCCTTGCACCTGGAGGAATGTCATGGTGTCCATAGATGTGCGATTAGGGAACTCCAGAACATAGTCAGGCAGCTTAATCTCAAACTTCACTCCAAGGAATGTAATGGAAAACTGTTGAGAATAAAGAGAAAAAAAAGGAGTTAGAAAGGGAAAGATAAAAAGGTTGCATTCTGTAAATTCTTAATCTCAAGACCATCAGTAATTTTAAATTCGTCTCCCATGTGGTCAACTAGTTCCCAGTGAAATACAGATTTGAGACTGTGCTAGCATATTCCTTGCCACTTCAGACTCAAGGACCTCATTTATTGTAATGTTGCCATGATCACTGAACCCAATGACTTTTGAAGAAAGACAAGTTGACTGCAAGTCATTATGATGTTTAGGGCATTTTAACCACAAGTTAACATTTGTGAAATAAAGCATATTTGACACTGATTAAAAACATGGTTAAGTGTCTGGACAACTTGTGACTGAAAAATTTGCAGATGTTGAGAACTTTTTCTTGGTTGGGGGCAGGGTGGTGGGTGGAAGGAGACAAAGAAAGAAAACTAGGAAACAAGTATAAAAAGACTTAGCTGAAACACTAGGGGAATTTTGCAACCCAAAATTACAGTACTGCATGTTTGAGCTGTGCATTACCATTGCGCTTTAGTGCTTGTAGAGCAGAGGAAGTGTCCCAACCTCCGAGTTAAAGTGACTCAGGTTAAAGTCCTGAGAGAGAGGTTGAGTCCTAGAGTACCAAGTGGCAGGGAAAAAACACCCGAGCCTGCAAAAACAAAATCCAGTCTCTTGTTCGGGAGAAGGAACTGAGAAGACATGCAAGTTGACCCAATGAGCTACTGAGTTAGGGATGACCACTGTACTGACAGTAGATGGCTTTTGCTAAAAAAAAAAGTTAACCCACCCTTGAATTATGAACTTTTAATCTTCACAACCATTTACTTTACCAAAAGTCTTCTCCCAGCTATCGTGCCTTTCATTGGTTTTAGGAGCAAATGACTGCTTTTGTTTTGAAGGAGTTTACAGTTAGAGTAGTTTGGCAATCCTTCTCCTGCATGTGTTAAGTGTTAAAGTTATTTCCTGTTAACAGATACAAATTGTCTAATTAGGGAGTGAGCTATCACCTTTGTCTTAAATCCCAATTGGGCCAATGGATTGCTTATTAAAAGTGGGGCAAGGTCAGTGTGCTCTTTGGGGAGAGGGAAGTGGAAGTATTAGGTAGAACATAGGAACAGGAGTAGGCCATTCAGTGCTTGGAGTTGGTTGGTCATCCTACTCTGTACACTATTCCCATCTTCTCCCTATACCCTTTAGGCCTAAAGACTGATGGTATAGGCATGTAGTCTGTGTTCAATGCCCTGGACACCAAGGTTATATTTTAATGCCATTAGAAATATGCATTTGCTCTAGTCATGAACAGCAGGGAACTCACTGACATGTCAACTACAGGAACCATGCTTGATGCTGGTGGCCCATTTATCAGACCACATTCTACTGCCCAGCACCTTCATGGGTAAACTGTTTGGATACAGATAGAAAGGAAGCATTGTTAACTGCTCGAGGAACAGGTGACCAGGCCCAGGAAATGCTCTAAAAACAAAATCTAGTTTTGATAGAATTTGAAAGAAATGTTTAAAATAAGCTATAATTGGAAATAATAGAAGTGAATTAAAGATTTGAAGTGACCACCTAGAATATTCAAACATTTCAATACAAATCAAGGCATTTAATTGGGATTAGATAGACTCAAGTGACAGAGGTAGGCTGAATGGTATTACCTACAAGTGAAGACCTGATTGACTGTCAAGCATGTCAAAATGGCAGTGGTTAGCACTGCTGCCACAGTGCCAGGTTCAATCCCAGCCTTGGGTGAGTCAAGTCTGGAGTTTGCATGTGTCGGTAGCTTTCCTCCCATAGCAATCCACCTAGTCCCAAAAAAGGAGACTATGCCAAATGTGGCATTACCAGGATACAGTGAACTGGATCTGGGTGGGATTCTGAGGATCAGTGTGGACTTGATGGGCCAGTGGCCTCTGTACTAAGAATTGTATACTTTGTTGGTAGCCAGTCAAACCCCCACTTGGACTGTTATTTCACCAAAGTTGGACAGCCCATTCCCAACTTGAAATTCCAATATACTGGGATCTGCTGCTATATAGCAGCAGTATTCCCCAAAGCAGTCAGAAACAGATTGCTGTAAAAGATCAGCTGGTCTGGCAGCATTGAGGGGAGGGAAAGCAGAGTTAGTGTTTTGGGTCCAGTGACCCTTCCTCACAACTTCTAGCTAGAAGTGTTTTTTTTTAAAACTTTAAAAAAACAAAAATCAGGGGATAAGGAGTAGGTGAAAAGAGGCAAGAGAACCCAAATGAGGACAGACAGACACTGCAATGAGGACATGGGGAGATGTCTCAAGCTTTAAAATTTGAGGAACTCAAACCAAGTTTAAGTTAGAGAGATAGTAGGAACTGCAGATGCTGGAGAATGAGATAACAAGGTTTACAGCTGGATGAACACAGCAGGCCAAGCACCAGAGGAGCAGGAAGGCTGACATTTCCCAAATACTTGGTACAATGTTCATCATTCCTAATTAATGCTCGGAGTTGCTCACCACATGCATTCATTGTGCCCATTTTAAGAAAAAAAATGATAACTATGCTACAAACCAAGGTTTGTAATTAAATTATGCAGAGGCTGCCACCTAGTGGAGTGGCAAGTGTTAACAATTGCTATCTTGCAAAAATTCACCAAGGCTCCTCAGACAATACTTTCCAAATCTATGACTTCCATCTAAAAGGGAAAGGTCAGCAGATACATGGGACCACCACCTGCATGCCACATGATCTGGGCTTGGAAACACTTCCTTCAAAAAACCTTCCAAGGACATTGTAGATCTTTCTACTGCATGGACTAGTGGTCAAGGTGACAACCAGGAACCAGCAATAAATGCTGGTCCAGCCAGTAGCACCCATATTCAGTGGAGGCATTTTCCCCAATCCAAAAAAGAACAAAGCAATGAATTGGCATGTGCCAGTCCAGAAACTGGATCACAAGTGTACCCGCCCCTACAGTTTAAAAGGAAAACGTACTTCAGTTAATCAGTAATATTCTGGGCTGGTTCAGGCTTCACTGTAGTTCACGGTGAAGAGTGCAGATTGCATTGGAACCAAAAAACATGCCCCCATCAGGAGATGTTTTGTTTCCAATGCTGGAAAAGCTCAACAGGTCTGGCAGCAATGGAGGAGGGAAAATAGCTGTTTGAAGTCAGCTATGATTGTTATACTGCAGCATAGGGCGTTCAGAAGGTTAACAGCTTTAAGTTTTAGTAATTTGTTTTTTTTTTCCCAAGTTTCATAGTTTCAACATTCTTCCCATAAAGAGACTGGCTAATTAGTGCAACTCAAGCAATTGAGGAACACTTAGTCTATTGTTGCCAGCCAGTTTTCCAAGATTTTCTTGAGTTGTCTTCATTACTAGCAAATTATTGCCAAAGTATCAAATGCTAATAATTGATCATTGACACTCCTGTCATCTTCAGTTTGGGTAATTCAAAGATCCATACCAATTCTTATCTTGCTCTAGATATCCTCAAGAGCCAATTTCTCTAGGCATCCCTTTTGCTTGTTTGAGTCCTCAATTTCAGATTCTAAGTTTGAGCAGTAGCTGCTTCAAGAATTCAACTTAAGCATTGGCAGTCCAGTGGATGTCATTGAGACTATCCACCAACAGACAACATCCAAGAATACAATGTGTACCAGTAAAAAAGTTGTTTAGGAATGAGAGACTGTATGTAACATTCCAAATCAGGCCACACAACAAAACAGTTGAGTAAATATTGAAGAGTCATCTATACTCAATGTTAGCTTGGTGTTCTCTTCATGGGTGCTGTCTAACCCACTGATTTCTAACATTTGTTTTCAGATTGGATTGTCAGTTGACAGTCAAAAACTGAAGTGTAACTGGTCATCTCTGATCCCTTTTTGAAGTCTGTAAAATTGCATGGGAATACACAAGACAACCCTGCAGAGGAACATCTTCATTGCTTCTAACTGGCACCAATAGTGCCTAGTGGGCTGAGCCTAAGAACTAAAAGAAAAAGAGGAGCAGGAGCCAGGTTTAAACTGCAATGGTATGCTGAGTTAAGTACAGCCCAGTTTCTGTGCTGAATGTACCAGAACAATGAGCAGTGGCAACATATAAGCTGGATACCAAGTTTGTGTTTTCTGGTAACAAGTTATAGTTCCAGTCCTTTTTTTTGACAATTGTTAAAGTGTCCTGACCAGCCTAGCTCTAATTTTACTGTTAGGTCTTTGTTCTGGTGGAAAGCCTAGCCCCACCTTACAAGTCTCCTTTTCCTCCCTACCCACCCTTAAACTTCTTGGTAAGAAAGTTGAGAGAAATGGGCTAGGAGCAAGCAGGTGGGACTAGTTTAGTTTGGGATTATGGTCAGCATCAACTGGGTGGACCATAGGATCCATTTCTGTGTACAGAAAGCAATAGGGTCCATTAGCCAGCAAGTCCAAAGACTTAACAGACAAGACACTTAATTCAGCCTCTTACAGGCACTGTTCAGACCTTGTTTGTCCACAAGGTATTAGCCTGTCATATTGTGATAGCTATGTTAAAGTCATTAACAGTGGGCTTTCACAGCCCTGAACTGCCAAATGCTGGTTGGCCAGGTCCTAAAGGGGAGTCAGTACATTTAACCCTCTTCCCAGAGGGAGTTTGGCACAATGCCCAAGCCTGGCCACAAGTTTAAAAAATGCTAAGTCACAGTCCTAGAGGGCTGAGATTCAGATGCCAACTCAGATCAATAAGTTTACTGCTAGATCGGCAAGTGATGTGTACAAGTTCAGAGCTCCTGTGCTCACCTTAAAGCACTCTCCCTTCTCAAACATGAAGGAGTCCTCTCTCTGCTCAGTGCACCACACACCATCTTCTTTACTGTTACAGACAATCACTTGACCAGCTTCATCATCATCAAACCTTGGGTTGAAGTGTAATGCCAACTCGGAGTCATCTTTTCCCAGACTAATTGCAAACCTGCAAGCAAACAAGTGTTCAGGTTCTGTATGGCAGGCTGCTCAAAGTCTTCTGTAAAAGGAAATATTGCTAGTGATTTTTATACTTCACTGGAGGCCAAGGCTGGTATACAGTCCACTTCACCCTTAAGTTCTGCAATTGGAGTGTAATTTTGACTCAAACTGAGTACAAGGCCATTTCAAAATTTTTAGTTGATTCTAAAATCTAGACAATGGAGATTTCCTCCCCATCCAAAAGTAAGAGCTGTATCATCAAAAAATATATTAAAATCTGGTACCAGTTTTAATTCTATTTTTGTGCTACCACAAGTCTTAGGGTTCAGGGTTAATGCTATATGGAGTCAAGGCTGTTCTAGTCACTGCTGGGAGGATGTGACTTGTTTAAGAAGGTCACTTAGCCATGAGGGACTGTTAGATTTCATGAGTTGAGAAACCTATCACACCACCCTAGTCTTCCTTTCATCTCTTGCATATGACTGCAATGTCATGGCTATTATGCCAGTCATATTATTCTCAACACTGCCTGGTGGATTTTGTATTCCCATTATGGAGATTACCAGGTCAGTAGGGTTTACATTTCTGTATCTAGAGCTCTGACCAGGATCTTGCTCTCAGGAGAGAGCCACTAACCATACAGAAGCACGATAATTGTCGGTCACTTGTTCTAGGAGCAGACAGTTGGAATTTTGTAAATTCCTTGACTGCAGCACTTTTAGGGCCCAGGAGTTTGAACACCATGGAACAAGGATTACAGGAAGTTGGACAAGTCCAAAATTGTATGTCAGTCAAGTGTTCTGAGGACCATCCTAGATCCTAGGAAGCTAAATGAAAAATATTCTAGAGTTGCTGTTAATCGTGCTACTGTTAAGACTCATGGTGAAAATTCCTCAACTAGATTTTAGTAATCTCCCAATGCATCTTAAAGCAATTAGGGACAAAGACTCAGGAACAAACAGGAAGGGCTGGAGAAACTCAGGTACAACACCTGGGGAAGAGAGAAATAACTAAAAGATATTGCTAGTCCAGTACAACTCTTTACAAGTGTCTAATTGAGTAGCATCACAGCTAAAGGACAAAAAACCCCATCTTAAGTCCAATCACTTGCTGACTGTGTACAGTGAGGAGTTTGAGGTTAAAGCTATGAAGCTAGCAGAATAGGAACTAAAAAACCACAAGTAAACTCTTACCTGTCTGCCTCTGGGTCAGTAAAGACTTTGAATTTGACGGTATCACCAACTTTCATGTCAACATCAAACATTTCCAAAACCTATTGTGACAGGGGGAAAAACAGATGTGAGAGCACCATAGGGGAAGATGTTAAGGACACTGCTTGTAATCCATAGCAAGTGATCTGGGGACAAATTCATTTGGAGTTCAAACTGGGACTCAGTTAAACAGAAGCAAAAGCTAGCCTCAATAGTGACTGTTAAGCCTCAAGCAATTGAGTAAAATGTTCATTAGGGAATGAGTTCTGCTGTCCTTACCCATAGGAACATGGGTTACCTCAATAGCCTGAGCAAGCCATTTAGATAAAGGCCCATTAGATTGGGCAACAACAACAACATCCACAGTCCACAAAAGCAATCAGATTGCACAAAGGAGAGAAAGCACTCACCCACACTTTCCTTAATTTACTAGAAATTAAACCTTAGAATGGAAGGAGGAAGAACAGGAGAAAAATAATGCTGGAACTTCTCCTACAGCACTATCAAAGTTAGTCACCCAACCGAGTGCAGGAAACCAAAAAGTAGGGCAGAAAAACCCACATTTCATGAAGACAACCCCACCAAAGGAATAATTCAGAACTGAACAGCAAGTCCAACTCTCCCATTTAGTGTACAGTGCAAAAGCAGTGTAGATCCCATGGGATCCCCAGGAATGGATGATTCAGCTGAGGTTTGCAAAGCACATGAAAGAAAACAGTCTCTGAAGACTTAAAGACTTAAAGAGGGTGGAAGCAGAAAAATTAAAATGATTCAGTTCAGCATCATTTGTTTTGTAGATGTCAACAAATCAGTCCAAGCCATTTTTTGGCCAATATGAAACATTAGGCCTGGTCACATCTGCCCTCCACCCAAGTTTGCAGAATTGTTTTGTTTGCATGTGGAATCAAGTAAAGGCTTGCTCCTGTTCTTAAGTCTCACCTACTAACTCATTTCCACAAGGAGAGATTTAGCTTGTTAAAATTTAACAAATAATAAAAAAGTTCACCTTTGAGAAAAGGTTGCAGTTCAAAGATTTTGGATTCATTGAAGTCAAGCACTTTTTTTAAAAAAAGTCTCAAACTTAGAAAGTAGCCTTTACTTCAGAAGGTAATGACATACCCAATTCTGACAGAAATTGGGGTGTGAGATGATGCTAGTTTCAGGTCAGTTTCCAGAAGGCATATTAAACCACAGTTTTTTTTGTTTGTTTTTTTTAACTAAACCTTCTTAGTAAGCTGCCTTGAAATAAAGCTTTTGCACCATTCAATGTTGCTGTACTCCAAGGGGAGTACAGCCCTATAGCCACTGATTGGGAATTGTTTAGCGAAACAGCTCAGATGCCAAGACATTCTTGAGATGTCAGCAGAGCTGCAACTCACTGGGCATAAATAGTATATAACTGGCACACAAGAGAAATAGCACAGAGGCACATGTAGGCAGATTGGGGTTAGACTGAAAAAAAGAGTGCTGGAAATTAGTAGGTCAGGCAGCATCCATAGAGACAGCAAGCTTATGTTGTGAATCTAGATGACTCTTCAAAGCCAAGTTTTGGAGCATTAGCTTGTTGTCTCACCCACTGATTTCCAGCACTTTTGTTTTCAGTTCAGATTCTAGTATCTGCAGTAGATTTGCTCCTAGCATTAGCTAGGGTTCATCAAAATACAATTAGTACCTGGTACATCTGGTAATTGATTATCAAATACTGCAACACATGTCAAGGAGCCCAAGCCTAAAGGCAATTCTTGAAGGGAGAGAAACTTCCTTCAATAACCCCTCAATCCTCCTCACTGAGCAATGGTACAAATACTGTATGAAGCAAGACTGGAGCAAAGCAGGTATTTAATCCTTGGAAGAGAACCCTGTACATCCTTTGGAGGAAGCAGGACCATTCTATTCCTCTTCTCAAGCATCTTGTTTCCTTGAAAAAAATTCTGGAGTGAAACATTCAAAAAAAAAAGAAACAAATATCCTGGAAGCATGCATGCTGATGATTCAGATGCGTCAGGTTAATTTAGACCAACTCAGCAGACAAGGTCAGGAGGCTATATATGGTGAAGCTATTTTGGAACATGGATCATCTATGGCATTCATAGATCATTTCACAAAGTGATATGCTCGTATTGAAGTGTGGAGAAAGGATTTTCCAGTGAGTGAACAAGAGTCCCCAACAGTAAAATAGCCAGCGGCCAGCCATCATTTACAGTCAGGAACACTAAAGACAGGTCTGATCGTGTTAATGGAAGAGCATAATCTTTACAGTGACAAGTGATTTACATTGAGAATCTGCAATTCTGCTAGTCAAGAGTTTGACAGTTTTGTCAGCTTCCGTTTGCAAGTTACACAATTAGAGACAGACAATTGTGAACCAGGAGACCAGTACAAAAGGTTTGTGGTTGTTGAAATTATATGCAGTGGGGACAGGTGCTGTGCTTTAGCGAAAGAAAGAGGGAAAGTGATGATGCAGTGAGTAATTTTTTTTTGGGGGGTGGAAGGACGGACAGACAGATGAGGACTCGGGCTCATGTCCCATCTGCTTCAGAGGTGGGCCATAGCATACCTAAACAGGTTGATTCTGAAACCTAACAAGTCAATGCATTTTTTTGCGCAAATATAGTTTAAAATTTTGTTATTAGTAGAGGCTCTTTGTCCCTACTTCTGAGCCAGGAGTCCCATGTTCAAGACCCACTTTATTCATTCATAGGATTGGGGGGCGGGGGGGGGTGGTCACTGGCTAGTCAGCACTTATTGCCCAGAGGGCAGTTAGGAGTCAACCATATTGCTGTGGGTCTGCAGTCACATGTTGGCCAGACCAGGTAAGGATGCAGTTTCCTTCCCAAGAAGGACATTAGTGAACCAGGTGGGTTTTTCTTGACAGTTGCTCAGGAAATTCATGGTCATTAGACTCAATTCCAGATTTAAGAATTCAAACTCCACCATCAGCTGTGGTGAGATCCGAACCCAGATGCCCAGAACACAACTTGAATCTTTGTATTATTGACCACTAGTTCCAGCAGACCATTGCCTCCAAAAGGTGCAGCATAACATTAGAGGGAGTTGATCAGAAAAATAGCTTTTTTTTGACGTGGGGTGGGGTGTCCCAGCAGTGAAGGGGAAGGGTCATTTCCTGCATTGTAAGCTTCCATGATTATGGAGAAGCTAGCACAGAGCATTTTAGTCACTAAAATCAGAGAAACTGAAAGATTCCCAAGAGCATTTTAGTTGCAGGTCAAAAAAACTGTTGCAAGTCCTTCCTAGTAGTTACTGGAAACTACTAGAGTGTGTGCAATACACAGACAGCTGCCAGTGAGTCACAAGGTTGTAGATTCACATCCTATTCTGGGGGCATGGGGTTTATAATCCAGGCCCAAGAGGTGTTGTGGTGGTGGCCGCCACCATGGCTACTTTCCAACAGCAGCCTAGGTTCAAACACCACCTGCTCCAGACAGGGGCCACATCATCTGATCAGATCAATCAAGAATATCTTGAAGCCAGGCCTGAAGTACCAGATACAATACTAAGCAGAGGCCAATCCCTCCGCAGTGGAGAGTACAGAGAGGGATCCCATGGCAATTTGAGGGCAGAATTCTCTTTCTCCAAACCCCCATCAGAATCATGGGCAATAAATTTAACCATCAGCTGACATTGGCAAAACATAGCTTCAGATTAGATCATGCAGGAGCTCACCTTGCTCAAGTTGAGCAGTTCCCTATACTATACCCCAAACACCTCATTAACTGCAGAGTACTGATATTAAAGAATTGCAGGTTTTTTTTTCCCTTAAGTCTGAAGCAGGAATCAAACTTTAAACAGATTAAAATACAAACTGGCAGGATTAAGAGTTCTTGTGGAGTTTAATTAAAAGGCAAGAAGTTTAGTTTTGGTGGAGATCTTGACTTAAGGGATCAGTTAAGTCATGAAATTTAAGTCAATTTCTTGTTTCAAATCACAGCAGTGAATTTTAAGTAAAACCATAAAAAGTTTAGTTTAAGATTTCATCTTAGTAGAGAGATTCTAGATGACAACAAGATTCTTGGATTCCCAAGGATCTCAAGCAAGAGCCATAGACCAATTTAGGTCATATTCTCAAAGTTAAATATTCAATTTTACAAAGATTTCTGTCTGACTTGATGAAGCACTATCACTTCATCTGTCTCTCTAATTTGTGTGCCACTACTCACCTTCCCAACCCAAATTCTTCAAACATTGATAGCCTGTAGGCCCATTAAGAAAGTGACTTCTAAATACTATGTCAAGTAACTACATAAAAAAAAGTGCTCACATTCACTTACTACAAGTTAAAGGCCTTAATGATAGACACTGCTATCAAACTAGCAATCAGCAGACACCCACTTTGAATCAATAGCAACATAAGCTTTAAACTCAGGCACAGCTGCTAACCCAAGATTTGGCCAATACTTACAGTCTTCATTATCTCTTGCTTGTGCTTTGCTTTCCTTAGCTAAGATACAACCAACTTCCTAACTGAACACATAAAACTATCACTGCAACTACAGCCCTTTATGAGCACTATCAGCCATCAGCTGACACATGACTAGCATTTAAGGTGATCCAATCAGTGTGCTTCCTTTCAAACAACCACCACCTCCCCCCTCCACCTCCTGTCATTTGTCCATCCTTTGGAAGCAGCAGCCTATCGGAGCCTCCAATTCAAGAGCAAGGGGATACTGATATCAAATAGCGGAGATGAAACTGATGGGGAAAAACAGAGGCTCGATTTAAGGGGATCTGGTGTTACTGTGCCTGATTAACTGATGGAGTTTCTGATTCAAAATTATTAGAGATGGATTTTTATATTTTTAAAGATGGGGAATAAAGAAACTACAAGGATCACTTTGTACCAGGTAAATGGGAATGTGCCAGAGAGAATTAAAGGATTTAGACGTTAGAGGATATAATTCAGTTTATAGTTAGTTATAGACAGTTTTGAATAGTATGTTCAAATGGAATGAATGTATTAACTCTTCATAAATGTTTTAATATAAAATAAAATCTCAGTCTGCAATGCAGAGTGACATCAACAGTATAGGTTCAATTCCTACACTGGCTGAGGTGACCATGAAGGTCCCATATTCTCAACCTTGCTGCTTGCCTGAAGTGTGACCCTCAGGTTAAACTTGCCACCTGTTATTTCTCTAATGAGAGGAAAAGCCCTACAATTTGCTAAGACTGCAGTGACTTCTCCTTAACCTTAACATGAACCTGTGCAGGTGTGCTACAACACATTCCTGAAGAAAGTAGGACTTGAACTCAGCCTCCTGACCCAGAGGTAAGGGCATGACCGCTATACTACAAGAGCCATTTTCTGCTGCACCTTTGTATTCTCAGGCAGTCTCCCAGCCAAGTATTCCTAGGTCTGAAATGTGAGTATAATTAGCAAGGCCAGCATTTATTGACCATCCCTAATTACCCTTGAGAAAGTACCTGTGAGCTACCTTGAATCACTGCAGTCTTTGTGGGGTAGTGACAGCCAGTGCTGATAGCAAGGGAGTTCCAGGATTTGGGACCCAGTGATAGTGACGGGATGGTGACGTAGTGTCAAGCCAGGATGGTATATGACTTCGAAGGGAACCAATTTTTGTACCATCTGCAAACTTGACTACAGTACATTCACTTTGCTCATCCAAGTCATTAATATATTGTAAATAATTGTGAAGCCATCACTGATCACTGTGGCACTCCATTCATAACAGGTCGCCATCCTGAAAATATCCCCCTTTATCCCAATCTCTGTTTCTATTAGTTAGCCAATGATCTTTGCATGCTATTGTACTGCCTCCAACACGCAATGGGCTCTTATCTGATTAATTAGCCTTACACGTGGTACCTTATTGAATGCCTTTTGGAAACCCAAATGTAAATAATTGCTCGGTAGTATGGAACTTAAACATTGCTGAAAGGAGACCAAAAAGACGAAGCTTTTCATCTTGAACTCATCAGAACTAGGACGCAAGAAACAGACTCAAACAAAGGAGGAACATCCATTTCACACAGCGTGAGAACAGTGTCAGTTGGTTGGGTCATCGTAGGGATGCAGCAAGAATGGTTACCTGTCAATCCTGATTCTCAGAATCAACCTGCCTGGTCTGATTGGTCAGGATGTTGCCACGGAGATGCAGCAGCAGCTGGCTGTCTCCAAAACACACCCTTTTTAAAGGACTAGTATACATGTACAAATTCCTAGCACTCTCACGGTACAGTGATTATGTCCCTACCTCTGAGCCAGGAGGCCTGGGTTCCAGTCCCATTTGCTGCAGAGATGAACAGGTTGATTAAGAAAATATCTATGTCCGAATTCTTTTTATCAACACAAAACAGGATCTTCCATGTATATGTTCCTTCTGGCACTCTCACTGTCAGCCTGAGTGATGATCTTAAATTGGTTTCCAGTGTACCTCATGGCACAATCTGGATTATTTAATAAATTATTTCCTAGCATAACCACATCTAATGATGGATATAATCTTGAGGCTTGGCTGAGCACACTCAGATGCCCACTATGAATGATCAACAGATGTGTTCTTTGAAAGAGTCCAGCAGTCATTGGGGCTTGCAGCCTACATACCTGGCATCACACTGATACAAACACACGCTTTTATTCATTGGTGTGGTAGGCAAAACATCTTTTTGGCTTGACTGTGGCATTTTGATCACAGAGAAAACCACTCATGGTTTACTACACAATAGGAGCATGAGACAGTTAGCTTCATCTGTTCAAAGTTTTCAGACACTTTTCCCCTCCAGGGTAATGAGGCAGACTTGACACTGCTCAGAGTCTGAAGTGATGAATGTAGGCCATTTCTTGAGTTTTCACAACATACAAGTGATGATTTGATCAGGATATCTCCAAAATGACAGGGTAGTTTTGATAGCCACTTTCTCAGTGTCAAAATTACCTGGTGAGCAAATGGTACTCTTCACAAGGTCACCAATAAGAATGATCTTTTAGCACATGGGATTGGACTGATCCCAGCATGTATGTTGGCCATTGAATGTAGACTTTTGGTAGATGGTCATTGAGAACCCATTTTCTGACTTTTCCACCAAAACATTGAAAAGACAGCTGAATTGAATTCGGCAATGGTAAATTTAAGCACGGAATGGAGTTTATTAAGTTGTACAAAGAAATTCTTTGCAGCTGTAGATTCAAATATTGCAAACGGGTCATTTACATTTCAGTGTACAAAGGATAAAAGTTACATGGTCTTTCTGTCAAAGATGTACTTCTCATGGTAACTAACAAAGATGTTAGCAAGGGCTGGACACAGAGGGGTTTCCATGGCAATGCCAATATTTGGGCATTGACCATGCAATTGGAGCTGAACTCAATTGCACGAATTGCCAAGTATATAAGTTTGAAGACCACAGATTCAGAGACCTGTGGTACATCTAGATTACTATGATGTAGTGATATAGTGCAAATGACAATGGCTTCTCCAAGTGGCACATTGGTAAATAAACTGGCACTGTTAAGAACATGCAGACGTACCACTGCTCTCAATTTGTAAGGTCTTGGCAAACATGCAGGAATCCTTCAGTGCATTAGGAGAAACTCATTTAGAACTGATTGCAACAGCTCACATGACTATTTGGCTAATTCATGTTGTGCTAAGCCAGCCTTGGCTAGAATAGGGCAAAAGGGGAATTACATCATGCATTATGGGATGCCTATATATGTATGGGTGCATAAGGGTCAATTCTACCACCCTTAAGCGAGCCCAGCATGTGTCTGCAGCTTGCCTTTGAGTGCAGCTGTTTGGTCATATGTAGTGCAAGTACTATAGACATAAATGTGGAACCAACTGTGAGTGCGGTGTGTGTTTTGTTGGCCTATAGTTACTAGTTTTGTCTTGTCTCCTTCCCTTTTTGAATAAGGGTAATAAATTGTCAGTTTTCCAGTTGTCTGGCACTTTTCCAAGAATCCTTAGGTTCTGGGAGACTGTTACCAGTGCATCCACTATCTCTGCAGATACTTCTTTTAATATCCTAATGCAACTCATCAAGCCCAGGGGACTTTTCCTCTCCTTGCTGTCAGTTCTGAGGAAGGGGTCACTGGACTCAATGTTAACCATGTTTTTCCTCTCCAGGTTGCTGCCAACCCTTTTGGGTATCTCCAACAATTTAAGTCCAGGGGACTTGTCAGTTTTAAGCCCATTAATCTCCCTAGTGCTTTCTTCTGTAGTGATTGTTTGTGTCTATTTCCTCTCCTTTTGCATTTTGATTATTTATTATTTCTGGAATGCTACTGCATCTACTACTGTGAAGATCAATGAAAAGAATTTATTCAATGTCTCTACCATTTCCTGCTTCTCCATCATTTCCTATGCTCCCATATTCTCCATCATTTCCTATGCTCCCAACGCATATGCATTTTATATAATGGCATACTAACTATCCTACATTAGTGGTGGAGAGTATAAATATCTAAACTGCTGACCAGGGTGCTGTTTAAATTTACACTCTGCACAGTGTCAGTGTCAATCTTCTGAATATTGGAGCTGCATCTATTCAAGCATATTTAAGAGTATTCCTTCACACTTCTGTAGATGTTTCGCAGGCTTTGAGTCGTCAAGAGGCAAGTTACTCACCACTGACATCCTGACTTTTGACCTCCTCTTGTGGCCACAGTATTTCTGGCCTAGTTCAGTAATGTAGTCAATTGTAACCCCCAGAATGTTGATGGTGGGGATTCAATGATAATGCCATTGAGTGTCAATGTCAGCTCTCATTGGAAATGGGCATTGGCATCTATGGGCACAAATGTTGTCCACCCTTAGCTCAAGTCTGGCTGAATTTGGGCACCGTCCAAAAATGGAGCCAAACATCATGCAATTGTCAGTGAACATCCCCATTTCTGACCTTATGACAGAGGGAGATTTACTGAAGCAGCTGAAGATGATGGGGCCCAGGACACTACCCTGAGGAACTCCTGGAGCTAAAATGAGTGGTCTCTAAATCCACAATCATCTTCCTTTCTGCTGGGTATGACTCCAACCACAGGAGAGCTCTCCCAACCCCTTCCAAACCATTCCCCCCTCCACCCCACCTCAGACTTCAAATAAACAAACAAGCACGTCATGATGCCGCACATGGTGGGACACTCTGGATGTTGAGAGTGATCAATCACTTTTGGAATTCTTTGGCTACCAGCTGTGGAGGAGGGGAGAGAGTCAGGACCTCATCAGTTCTTTTCTTCCTGCCACAGAATATAACTTCACATTTTCCTACATATTCCATCAGTGAAGTTTTTACCCACTGTCTAAAAATCTCTGTACATTGTCATCCTCATCACTTGCAAACCCACCTATTTGTATCATTGGCAACAGTACAATCTTCTCATCTAAGTAATGAATATATATGGTAAATAATTGTGGTTCCAGCCCTGATCCCTGTGGCACACTACGAGTTATAGGTTGTCATTGTGAAAATGGTCGTTATCCCAACTATCTCCCATTAGTTAAGTCAATGTTCTATCCATGCTTACATTACTCCAAGGGGCTCCTATCTTATTAATTCACCAAAGATCCTCAGATAGCACCTTCCAAACCCACGACCACTTCCATCTAGAAGGACAAGGGCAATAGATACATGGGAACACCAGCCCCTGCCAAGTTTACCTCCAAGCCACTCACCATCCTGACTTAGAAATAAATCGTAATTCCTTCACTGTTGCTGGGTCAAAATCCTGGAATTGCCTCCCCAATGGCACTGTGGGTCAACACACAGCAGGTGGACTGCAGAGGTTCAAGAAGACAGCTCACCACCACCTTCTTGAGGGCAACTAGGGATGGACAAGAAATGCTGGCCAGCCAGCGACACCCACATCCCACAAATGAGTTTTTTTTAAAAATGAAGTAGCCTTGTGTGCAACACCTTATTAAACAGTTTTTGGAAATCCAAATTCATTACATCGACTAGTTACCCTTTATCCTGCTGGTTACCTCTTCAAAGAATGAGTCAGACATTATTTCCCCTTCACGAAGCCATGTTGACTTTGCTTGATCACATTAAGTGTTTCAAAATGCTCTGCTAATAACATCCTTCATAATAGACTCTAGCACTTCCCTAGTAACAGGCACTCTGCTCAGTTCATATTGTACCCGCACTTGGGAATATTCAGTCACGATACAGAGTGAAGAAGCCAAAGAATGAACAATTCAATGTTGAAACTGTTCTAATTTTATTTTCCATGATTCTAACTTGAACAGTCATCTCTTAAATTCCATAAATACAGCGAGTGGAACTTAGCAGCAATTCAGTGGTACTTTCTCCATCGCTCGTGCTCTGAGTGGAAAATAAAGTTAAGAAAGTTAACAATTGATTGCAGAAAGCTACTGACTGATAGCAAGAATGCATTAGTTCTACAGCTTGGGGAAGCATTCCCAGAGCACCATTCACAACATTTAGGGCAGCCCAAGGTGTTTCACAGCCAATGAAGTACTTTTGATCTGAAGTAAAGTGACTATTGTATGAAAACTTAGCAACAAATTTCAACACAGCCAGCTCCCACAAATGGCAATGCATTCATGACCAAAAATCACACGTTCTTTGGAGATTGAGCACCAAATATTGACCTAGATATTGGGGCACGCATCCTCCTGCTCTTTATAAATAGTGCCAGGAGATTTTTTTGTCCACCCAAGGTGACACACTGGGCCTAGTATTAAGGTCCTAGTCAAAAGACAGCAACTTTGGTGGTGCATCACTCCTCCAGTTCTGCACTGCAAGTCAGCCTGGAGTATGTACTCCAGTTTCTGGAGTGGGACCTGAACCCATGAAACTTCTGACACAGTTCATCCACGTGCACTGTAAAGCTCCTCACAGCAGGATGTTTGTGCATGATCTTAACACCGCTCACGCTATATTCTGTTCGGCTGCAGGGCGGCTTACAGAGTCATGGAGTTGTACAGCATGGAAACAGACACTTCAGTCCAACTTGTCCATGCTAACCTAAATTAATCTACTCCCATTTGCTAAAATTTGGCCCATATCCCTCGGAATGTTTCCTATTCGTATATCCATCCAGATGCCTTTTAAGTGTGGTTATTGTACCATCCTCCATCACTTTGTCTTGCAGCTTGCTCCAAACATGCACCACGCTCTGCATGAAAAAGTTTATAAACTTCTATCAGGTCACCTCAGGCTCTGACACTCCAAAGAAAATAGCCCCAACCTATTCAGCCTCTCCCTCAAACCCCCCAGGCTTGGCAACATCCTCATAAATCAGCGCCTGTCTGCGTAAACAGGATGGATTGCGAGTAACGAGGATTATAGCTGAAGTGCCAAATACAACAGTAAAGTTGTCCCAGAGAATACTTCCTGGGACACAGGCACGTGCTGCAAGACAGAATTTATTTGTTGATTTTCTAATCGCCCCTTGAAGGTGGCAGTGGACCATCTTCTTGGAGCACCATGGTCCATGTGGTGCTCGACCAACTGTTCCAAAATGCTTCTCGGACAGTGATTGAGAAGGAAAAACATTTTCAGGACACGAGTGTCATTGGCGAGACTGGAATTAATTGGCCATTTGTCACATGCTCCGATCATTCAAACAGCCCAATAAAGAGTTGGAATCAACTCTGTTCCCCATTTTCATCCTGAAAAATATACTATTTAGAAACTGTCTAAAGTACACTGCAAAACAGTTCAAATTGGACTTCCTGGAAAGTGCACTAGTATTTCACTTTTCTTCATTCAGCATATTGTACTCTTTGGTGCCTCAGTGTAATTGCAATGTGTGTGACCATTTACTCTAATGTATTCAACGACAAGCATCCAGCCCAAGAGGCTCCACTTACTGAGGTGTTCGTACTCCCAGATGTAACTGAGCAGAACGTAACCAGTCAGCAACATGGCAATTCCCCCAATCCCACCTCGCTTCACATTAATGTACTTATTGTAGTACCGGTCATGGCCTGGAGAGAAACAGGAAAAGAGAGCACAGTTAAAATAGTCAGTAGCACTTCATCCATATGGGATCATGGCTTTGTACAATTTTAAAATCCAAAGATGATTCTACAAATACATAAAGAGTAAAAGAGCAACTAGGGATAGAACAGGCCCCTTTAAAGATCAATGTGGTCATCTATGTGCAGAACCACAAGAGATGGGTGAGGTACTAAACGAATATTTCGGGGTTAAGAGACAAAAAAAAAACTGCACATGCTGGAATCCAAGGTAGACAAACAGGAGGGCAAAAGAACACAGCAGGCCAGGCAGCATCTGGAGGAAAGGAGCAGTCAATGTTTCTGGTATTACCTTTCTTCAGGACTGGATGTGGGGGTAGGGGGAGCTGCAGATAAAGTGACAGGGGTAGCGGAACGGAGGTGATACATGGACAGACTCCAGACTGACAATGAAAATTAGGCAGACAAAGGATGGTTGATAGTAAGCCAGGGAAGAAGAAAAGCTGATGTTAGGGACAATGAGTAGATGAAAATGTGAGCTGGCTGTGCTGAAAGTAGTCCATGTCAAGATAGGGCCTGTGTGTGGAGGTGGGTATATTTTCTTGTTTCTCCCTCTAATTTCTCATATCTTTCCTTCTCCCTTTAAGCCACACCCGAGACTATTTTTCACCTTATTGCTCTCCTCAGTAGACCATTATATCATAACATTCAAGGATACGGAACAAGTGCAGGAAATTGGGATTAGCGCACCTTTAGCGGTAGTTATGATGGTGCAGACTTGATGGGGCAAAGGGCCTTTTCTACACTGTATAAATCTAGCTAATGTATAAAACACAGAACTGTGCTTGCACAACTACATGTGTACAGGGCAGTATGCCCAGAACCATTCTGTCCTCAACAATCTGAAGTAACCAAAATAAGAGCAAAACACTTTTTATTTCTGATCTCCAGGATCCACAAAGTGCCAGGGAAACTAAGGAAGTGGGGAGAATCTATGGAGAGAGAAAGAGTTAACGTTTCCAGTCAAAAGTGACACCTCTTCAGAACTGTTCCAAAGAAGAATCTTACTGGACCTAAAAACGTTAACTCTGTTTTTCTCTCTCTCCAGATGCTGCCTATATCTGCTGAGTTTCTCCAATGCTTAGTGTGTTTATTATAGATAAAATAAGGTTGTATTGAGCCTCACAACTGCCCTCCATTCAACTGCAGGCCTTTGGATACGGTAGGAATTAATGAACAGATACAAAGCCTGATTAAAAAGGAAATGGTCAAACGTTTCCATTACAACATGCTGCACAATTATTTGCAGATTTGGTCAGATTACGTTCTTACCTCTACGCAAAGCCCCGATAATGCCATTGGGGGTGAAATCTCGTGCAGTGATCCATCGGGACAGCTCCCCTAGCTTCACATCCATCAGAGGTTTCTCCGCAACTGGAACTGCTGACCAAACAGGAGGGCAGTGTCAGGGTGAGGGAGATAAGAGGAGAAGGTAGCAAAGAAAGCATGTTACAATCTTATTTGTTTATGGGTGCCACTGGCAAGGCCAACATTCAATGCCCATCCGTAACTGCCCTAAACCTGAGTGGTTGCTCACCCATTTCAGCGAGCAGCCGAAGAGGCAACCATATCGCGGTGTCTGGAGTCACACGTAAACCAGACTAGGCAAGGGCAGCAGATTTCCTTCCCTGAAGGACATTAGTGAATCATATGGGTTTATACAACAACAGTTGTCATGGTCACCATCACAGAGACCAGCATCATACTGCAGACTTATTAGTGTAGTTTAAATTCCATGCCATGTCATGGTGGGACTTGAACCCAAGTCCCCAGGGCATTAGCCTGGGCCTCAAGATTATTAAAAAGGTACAATCATCATCGTTCCAGAGGACCACAGGACTGGAGGTGGTTTGACCTTAGGGTCACCACACCTCAAAAGAGGGACAAGGTTGAGAAGGAGGAGCCTTCATCGTAACCTCAGCCAGCACAGGAATTGAACCCACAATGTCGTCACAAATTAGCCATCCAACCAACTGAGCTGTAGCCCCTACCGAAAACAAGTGATTAGATTTAGATTCGCCTACAGTACACTCTGAACCCAACAGGCCAGTTTCCAAACCCTGATCTCTCAGATTGCCAGTAGCAACTGAATACCAGACTAACTGGGTAAACCTGGTGTCCCAATCCCACACTCTCTGGGACATTTCTGTATCTCCTACCCTGCAATACAACCCACCCCAGTTCACTCTTTTCCAGACCCTCTCAAAAAAGGAGACACCATCCTCTCCCAGTGGAATCTGTTCCAATCTCTAACTCTTCCTTCTAAGATTTAGCACCTCCTCCATTTCCTAATACTCTTAAAATAAGTCTCAGATCCATCTCTCTGGGATATTTCCCAGCCTCAGTCAAAGAGAGTTCATTCCCTATATCCCACAATGCACACAGCCCTTATCCCTCTCTTTCAGAGGCTCCACCAACACTTCCCCCACCTCCACTAGCACCTCCCCACTACTCTAGTTCTCTTTTACCATTCCCCTGCCCCAAACCCTGGGGTACCTTCCCCCTCCCAAGTTCTCTCAACCCCTACCCCTCTCTCCAGGACATTGCTCTCTTTCTGCTACCACACATACCCCCACCCCAACACTGCCATTTCTGTTTCTCACTGCCCCTCTCTTTGGGACATTGTCCCCAGCTTACTACACACCAGTGCCTCTCTCAGAGACGATGCACTGACCCCCTGTCCCTGTCCCTGTCCCTGTCCCTCTCTCCAACCCCACACCTCTGGCCCACTGTCCCTCCCCTACCTCCCTATCCGCCTACCTCTGGCCCACTGCACACAGTAGCCTCTGCCCTCAGGGTGAGCTGTGCCACAGTCAGGGTGACCTTGCCCGGGTTGATGGTTCCCCCGGGCTCCCCTGCCCCTGCGGCGGATACATTGTATCTGGGTCAGACTGTGTGGTAACACAGTAACCCTCCACTGGCAACACTGTATCCTGCTGTGGTTACACTGTATCCAGGGGCCGCCGGATCCTCACCTGCTCTGTCCGCCATCTTCCAGCACCCTCCCTGCGTCACCTGACTGACAGCCCCCCCTCCTCCAATAGCATCTGTGCCTTTGTAGGGCGGGCTCTCCGTCTGACCAATCAGCAGCGAGCTATCCGCTCCTTCCGGCCATGTCCCCCTTAACTCCAGGTTCATTCACTTTTATTTTGCGGAGTTGACGAAATACTTTTTTTAATATTAAAAAGACACACATAAAATATCTCCATGGTTTCATAGAGGTGCATTTTCTCAATTTCATCAGCTCACGTTGGCAGAGCACGTTTGAACCCGGGGAGAGGCTTACGTTTGTATAGCGCCTTTCACAAGCTCAGGCCGTCTGCTCCTATGATGCTGCTTGGCCTGCTGTGTTCATCCAGCCCTGCACCTTGTTGTCTCGGATTCTCCAGCATCTGCAGTTCCTACTATCCCTGTCCAGCCAATTGGGTTTTTTATTTGTGGTGTATTCACTGTCGCCAGTGTTGGACACGCGCCAGCTTAGGTGTGCCCAGCAAGATCCCACAAACAACAGCAAAGTGATAACCGGATAATCTGTCTCACTGGCTAGACATTGCCGAGGAAACTGGCCCTTTCTTCGAAGTAGTGGCCTCTGTGTAGATGGGGCCTCAGCTTCATGTCTCATTCAAAAGAGAGCACCTCCAACAGAGCAGCACTGCCTCGGTACCACACTAGCTGAGAGGAGCTGACAGAGCTGTAACAAAAACAGAAATTGCTGCAGAACCTCAGCAGGTTTGGCAACATCTGTGAAGAGAAATCAAAGTTAACGCTCCAGTGACCCATCCTTAAAACACCAGGCCCAAAACACGACCCCTTCCTTAGAACACCAGGCCCAAAACACGACCCCTTCCTTAGAACACCAGGCCCAAAACACGACCCCTTCCTTAGAACACCGGGCCCAAAACACGACCCCTTCCTTAGAACACCAGGCCCAAAACGTGGCCCTTCCTTAGAACACCAGGCCCAAAACATGGCTCTTCCTTAGAACACCAGGCCCAAAACATGACCCTTCCTTAGAACACCAGGCCCAAAACATGACCCTTCCTTAGACCACCAGGCCCAAAACATGACCCCTCCTTAGAACACCAGGCCCAAAACATTAATTCTGTTTTCTCTTCACAGATGCTGCCAGACCTGCTGAGCTTTTCCAGCAGCTTCTGATTTATAGCATCCACAGTTCTTTCCGTATTTATCTGGGGATATCTATGCTCTGAGATGGGTCTTGAAACCCACAACCTTTTGACTCAGAGGGGAGAGTGCTAGCAATATCAAAAACAAGACACAAGTTTAGAATCTTTACAGTGTGGAAGCAGGCCATTCAACTCCTCGAGTCAGCACCAACCCTCTGAAAAGCATCACACCCAGAACCACCCCATACCATCTCTCTGTAACCCTGCATTTCCCATGGCTAACCCACCTAACCTGCACATCCCTGGACATTTGGGTAATTTAGCATGGCCAATCCACCCTAACCTGCACATCTTTGGACTGTGGGAGGGAACCAAGCTACCCAGAGGAAAACCCCACAGACACAGGGAGAATGTGCAAACTCCACACAGACAGTCACCCGATGGTAAAATCAAACCCCAGCTTCTGATGCTGTGAGGCAGCATTGCTAACCACTGAGCCACCAGGCCACCCAGTAATTCCTGACCATCCCACCAAATTTAATTCCTCCATTTGGAAAAGCCACATCGCTACGGCAGCAGGGTATGTTGCTTCATTCAGAGCTCCACTCTCTTCGCCAGTTCCTTTTCCTTTTCCTTACTTCCCTCTCCTCTCTGCAGTAATTCTAACAACACCCCCCCCCCCCCCCCCCCCCCCCCAGCAAGGAGCTGGGTCGCGACCAGGAGCCGCGTGGCGGGAGCTGAATGCGCGGGCCATGCCCTGCAGCGACGGTGGACGAGCGTGGGCCGGAGTGACATCGCGGTGACAGCGAGCCGGTGAGGCAGTGACACCAGTGAGAGTGGGCCTTTCGCTTGGCAGTGGTGACCTCCTGGGTGTCCTAGCAATCGGAGCGCTGCTTGTACCATTGTGGAGATGGGACTCTGAGATTTGGCCATTTTTTTTCTTGCTTACCTTTTGGCTCTGTTAAGTCTTTTAATTCTGGTTTTTTTAAACAAGTGAGTGTCAGTGAATGGTGGCTTTGTGCACTTTTCACTGTACTGATGTATTCCTATACTTAGTACATGTGACAAATCAATAAATCTAAATCTTCAGTGCCAACACAGCATATTACATTTCAAGGCTCCAACTTTTCATGTGATTTCGAACTTCAAGTTTGTTCAAAGTTGTTCCACATTTTGCATTTTGAAATCAGGCATCGAGAAGAGATTAGAATCAGAAATGATCTTTGTTCTGCAGGCCAGGATTTGATTCACTCCACAGTGGGTGATGGAATTTGAATTCAATACACATCTGGAATTAAGAGTCTAAGGATGACCATGAAACCATTACAGATTATCAGAAAATAAAAACCCATCTGGTTCACCGATGTGCTTTAGGGAAGAAAACTGCCACCCTTACCCAGTCTGGCCTATATATGACTCAAGACCCACAGCAATGTGGTTGACTCTTAACTGGCCTCTGTACAGTTAGGGATGGGCATTTTATGCCAGTGACACTCACATCCTCGGAATGAACTTTAAAAAAAAGAACTAGAAATAGGAAGCGTACTCAACATTTATATCATCATCTCTGCTGATGTATCTCGTATAAAGGTGGAGAGTGCAGTAATAACAGCTTGGATTTATATAGCGCCTTTAGTGTAGTAAAATGCCCCAAGGTCCTTCACAAGAGCAAAATCAAACAAAAATTGACACAGAGGCACATAGCAAGCATTAGGACTGACGCCCATAGGCTTGATCAAAGATACAGGTTTTAAGGAGTGTGTTGACAAAGATGATGAAGAAAATATTTAGGCAGTGAGTTCTACAGCTCCCTTATCCAGAAAATGCTGGAGAAAACTCAGCACATAATGTCTCACATATTGTCTGAAGTCCACGGGGAGGCTGAGCATTTCCAACATAAAGTAAAAATAAAAAGTGCTGGAGAACCTCACCAGGTCTGGCAGCATCTGTGGAGAGAGAAACAGAGTTAACATTTCAAGTCCAGCATGACTCTTCTTTGGAAGAACTCAACATTCATGTAAAATAAAACAAATAACTGCGGTTAAGAGATAACAAGGTGTAGAGCTGGGTGAACACAGCAGGCCAAGCAGCATCAGGGGAGCAGGAAGGCTGACATTTTGGTTTTCTGAAGAAGGGTCTAGGCCCGAAACGTCAGCTTTCCTGCTCCTCTGATGCTGCTTGGCCAGCTGTGTTCATCCAGCTCTACACCTTGTTATCTCAGATTCTCCAGCATCTGCAGTTACTACTATCTCTGAAATAACTGCGGTTGCTGGAAGTCTCAAATAAAACAGAAAACACTGGAGAAACTCGGCAGGTCTGGCAGCATCTGTGGGAAGAGAGTAGAGTTAATGTTTTTATTCCAGAGATTCTTCATTAGAGCTGTGGGTAACTAGGAAAAACTGATATTTATGCTGAAGCCGAAGTTGGAGATGGTGGGAGGGGAAGGGGAGAGATGAATGGATACATGGAGATGGAGCCCAGAGAAAGAGAGATGTGAAAGAGTGACGTAAAGGAGGAGATAATGGATAGCAGGAGAAAAGCTGAATAAGTGATAACCAGAGCTAAGAACGAGAATCGAGCTGTGCTGAATGTATCCAATATCATGTGAAAATGGGCTAGGGGTCCACATGACTGAAAGGCTGAATGGATCCCCAAGTGGAAAATGAGATGTTGTTCTTCAGGCTTGTCCTGAGCCTCACCAGAGCACTGCTGCAGGCCCGAAACAGAAGCATTGATGTGGGAACTTGGGGCTGTGCTGAAACAACAAGCAACTGGAAACTCATACTGAAATAAAGTCACAGAGCCTGGTATCCTGTCACCAAGTCACCCGTTATTTACATGTGGCGAGTCCTTGACGCACATCCAGCTTTCTCAGAGTGAGCAGAACCCTTGACACTCCTGTTTATATCTGTCAGTCGGGGCTCCCTGATTGGACCGGGTTAACAACCCCAATCAGGGAACTCATATTCTATAAAGTCCACCCAGCTGACCTTGTTCCAATCCCTACAAATACCTTCCAGGTGAAGCAGCAGTTTACCTGTACTCCATTCAATCCAGTCTACTGTATTCACTGCTCACAGTCCAGTCTCCTCTACATCAATGAGGCAAAACACAGACTGGGCAACTGCATTGCTCATACACTTTGTCTGCAAAAATGACACCAAGCTTCATCTTGGGGACCCTGCAACCTCTGGGACTCAGCATCAAGTTTCAGTAGCTTCAGAGCTTGATTCTATCCTTCCATGCTTTGTACCCTCAACATACCTGGTTCTGTTATGACACAGAGATAGCAAAAAATGCAGATGCTCGAACTCAGAGTCAATACAGTAAGGAGCTGAAGGAACACAGCAGGTCAGGCAGCAGCAGAGGAGCAGGAAAGTCAGCATTTTGTGTCAGAGCAGATGGTGGCCTGATGAAGGGTCCCAACCTGAAACATCGAATCTCCTGATGCTGCCTGACCTGCTGTGTTCCTCCAGTTCCACACTGTATCGACTCTGTTATGATATGCGTCACTTTTAGCACAGTCACCCATTCCCACATACTCCTAGGCCCCTTATCACAAGGTCAGAGGTCACACGATGCCAGGTTATAGTTCAACAGGTTTATTAAGCTTTCGGAGTGCTGCTCCCTCATTAGGTGAAGTCCACCTCACCTGACAAAGGAGCAGGGCTCCGAAAACTTGTGTTTTCAAATAAACCTGGTGGACTATAACCTGGTGTCGTGTGAATTCTGACCTTGTCCACCCCAGTTCAACACTGGCACCTCCACATCACCATAATCACAAGATATGGGTTACATTTGGCGCAGCTAACCCATTTTCTCTTAGTTCTTATTTCCATATTTCTAGCACTCTGACTCACTACCACATGGTGGCACTGTCAACCTGGGAACAAGTCTTTCAACCTGATAAAAAGGACTGAAAGCTAAAGACAGGGAGGTGTGGTCAAATCGGCTCAGAGTTCAGAGGTTGTGAT